TTGTGCCTGTTAAAGCAGGCATCCTCCTCCTTTGGGCTTTGAAGGCTGTGATGACAGGGCAGGGAACACTTGGCTTTGGATGCATGTTCTGCTCCTTATGGATATCAAAGAGGGTCCGAGCAAGCGATGCCTGGCTGTGGGAGCCCTGTTGTGGCAGCAAGCTCCATAAATAAACAGCAAGTAGGTGTGTATGCTTATGCTAGGAATACAATGAAATGTATTTGCAAACAGTTTACTTGCTGCCTGTGAGAAGTGGGTTGCTGGTCCCAGGCTCTGAGAATCAGATGTGGGGAGCAAGAGTCACCAATATTTTCCTGTCTGGTAGATGGGAGGTGGAGTAGTTGCCTTCCTGGTGAGTTGTCATGTGCAGGGTGTGAAAAAGTCTGTATAAATCTCACCGTTGTTTTTCAACCCCAAATTGGCCTGAGCAGTGAATGAAGGTGCTTGGAAATAGCACAGCTTCTGCCAGTAAGGAAAGAGAATGAGAACAGGAGTTCTACATGAGAAAGAAAGACTTTTTTTTTTTTTCACTTGGGAGATCTGAGTGAGAAGGAGAGCAAAGAGTCAGGGAGTTCATCGTCCAGCTCTGTCTGGAGAGTCTCTTGCATCCTGCCAGGGATCTGGAGGAGATGGTATGCTGGAGGGGGATGTTTATGTGATACTGTGCCTCTGAGATTCTTGGTTGGCATTGATAATTGAGCAGCTCAAATCTGTTGGATTTGAGTTGCTCAGTTATCATCTTGGACAAGATGTTACTCTGACTTTGCGAATCCCAGGCCATGTTGTTGGCATTCTGGCAGTGATGCACTTTTTGTCTGTCTTTTTACTGGCTGGATGCCATTGTGCTCCTAGCTGGCTGACAGACCTTGTGCAGGCTTGTCAAGTAGCCTTTTGTTCAGCAGTGAAGAGCAGGATTCCGTTTGTGTGGGACTCCAGTTTAAGTGTTTGTGTTCGGGTGATCCTGAAGTAGGGATTCTGTGGTATGTACAGAAACGTAAGAGTGGGACAAAAATGAGTTTTTCCGTGCTGTCTCCATTCTATCTCCAGGAAATCCAGTTGTTTTACCTATTTTCCATGTTTTGGAGTCCTGTGTGAAAAGCACGTGTGGCTGGGCTGCAGGAGCAGGAATGCAGGATGCTGTCGAGACCAAAGCCTGGCGAGTCCGAGGCAGACCTGCTGCGCTTTCAGAACCAGTTTCTGGCAGCCAGAGCTTCACCTGCAGTGAAGATTGTGAAGAAAGCAGACAAGAGGAAAGGGAAGGAAGGGAGCACAGATGCTGAGAGACCCCCACTCCAGGACAGCAAAGATGTAGTCATGTTGGATGGTAAATTTGTTTGTTTCTTTGAATTACTAAGATTCTCTGTCTCTCAACCTAGTGTTGCTTTTCCCTTGCCTTTGTGCCCTTCTTTCAGTATTATTTATTCCTTAGCCTTGGAAATTGGCTTGTCCCATGCTGCTAGCATCCAGTAGAACCACCCTTGGTGCCTTA